GTGTGTGTGTATTTACACACATTATATATAAGTATGTATAACATATCTTTTCAATTTTAATTTTGACAAATCTTAAGAAGATAGAAGTATCCAAAATAACACAAAATTAAATATAATTAAATATAATTTCCGAGCTGCATTTTAATCTATCATTGACACGATTTTTTTTATACCATAACAATAACAAAAGATTATCGTCTTTGCTGCTTGTTGATTCAATTAAATTTATATTCAACTTTCACATTTTTGAAAGAGATTCACCACTCCCGTGTTAACAAAAGAACATCCTCTAAATTTGGGGATATACTGTCGACGAACCAGCACGCGTGCGAAATAAATCACTGTGAGTAATCAAAATACGATCTGCGAATTTCTAAAAGTTTTTCCCAATATGGTGAAAAAAAGGATCAATCAGGTGTGGATAAGACCGCGATCTATTTTAAAACTATTTTAAAAACTATTTTCTCAAGATTTTTGTACAGACTATTGGTGCGACGTGCCGTCTAATCACCATCTAATATTTAATACGATCTAAGAATACAAAATCCGGATGCTCGCGGATAAAAATTCCCGAGAGATTCATTCAAATCGAAAGAGATTCTGAGTCTCATCGTATTTCGGACGAGATTAAAAAGTTCTCGAAACATTCATAAAAAGTTCGTTGAATAACAGATTAAAGAAAGAGAAAAAGAAAGAGAAATGTATTTTCTTAATTTTGAAATAATACATATTTTTCTTCTATCTATAATAAAATTTTATCATCACAAATAAATGAAAAACAAGTTTTTTGATGAAGAAGCAGAATTTCAAGTGAATAAATTTAATATTTAATGAAATTCATAATATTTTGTAATTTACATACTTACGATTTAATTTTATTTTTATCACACTTTTACAAATATATTTTTATTATCTGTAGAAAGCTGTGACGATTAGATCAATTTTCTAAACAATTTTATTTTGTTTAAGTCGAATTTAGTAGAGTCGAGAGATTTTTTTGTTGTTATGATTGAAATCAGTGAAGATTTATTAAAATCTGCGAAATTTGCCGTAATTATAAAACATATACGATATACATGTATGTTTATAAATATGAAAAAAATATGAATAGAAAGAGGGCACAAAAGGACTGTGGTAGTCTGTTCGATGATATAGCGCGAGAAGAGAAGTCTCTAATTATGTAATATTGTTATATTGTTCTTGCCTTTCGGGGGGATGCGTTCTTTTGATAACGACAATGTGGGAGACATTGCCGAAGGGAATTCGATGACAGACCAAAGAGTGTGAAGAGAGATAAGGGCGAACGATACGTGAAATGTAATCTTTGCATATTTTCCTACATGACTAGGCGCGTATTACAGGCATGCTGTAAAACCTGCGCTCACGCAATCGTTGACGAAACACAATTAAATATAATAATGAAGGGGCGCGTTATCGGATATTTCATTATTTCTCGCCTTCTGAGTAATCACTCTTTCGAGAAACGAGTCTCGATCATTGTTCCGTTTCGTATATGATAACACGAAAATTCCGATTGAATGTGCAATATAATTGTAAAAAAAATATATCAAGCTAGTTTTGATAGAATGTCATAATTTAATTGGCTATTATTTTATTTGCGTACTATTTGCATCGATACGACGTCTGTAGTTTTATTGTATTTAGTCCTATTGCGTGAACACGGGATTGGCAACTGTGTACATTTATTTTACAATGAAACGGCGAATACTCCGGTTCGTAGATATATCCATCGTAAGAGAAATAAGTTTAAAGACTATCAGTGTAAATGTAGGTGTAAGACTGACGTATCGAACGGAAGGCTTGCGATTGTAAGATGACTTTATATTTCGCCGTGGAAGAATTGTGCATTTACGAAGTCTAATAATTAACGAGAATGCGCGGATTCTTTTTATTAAAAGAGAAAAATGTAGAAAAAAAGAACCGGAAAGAGAAGGAAATGTAGCAATGCAAGTTTCTCTTACAATTGCAAAGCGAACGAAGATAACCCATTGTGTAAATCGTTCGTTTCGATTATGCAACGGTCATTCCGCTCGTCGTTTGTAATCAATGGTAAAAATTATTAAGATTCTGTATAAGGACAAGAGAGATCCGTTAATTTCATACGATGAAGATTGGCAACAATCGTGTAAATATATACACACGTCGCAAAAGCTGTTGCGTGTTGCGTTAATATCTCGTGTGCATTCGCTTTCCTTCATTACGTAACCGATCCCTTCTTGCGCGATTGCGGAAAAAGATATCCGACAAAATCCGAATTCCATTGCCAAAAGGAGAGATGAAAGGATAGGAATTCTCAAAAATAATTCTAAAAAGCTAATATCGGCAGTCTTAACGAATAGATATTTTATTTTACTACTTAGATATTTGTGTATCTTGTTCAGATATATATATTTGAATCAAAAGAAAAAAATTGTGAATATTGCATTTTAGTAATCCAGTTTTAATTATTACTATTTTTTGTAAAATATTAATTTATCTCGATGTATGCATTCCCTGTGTGTGGTACGACAAATTTTTCGATTGGTTACAAAATAGTAAATTTTTCAAATCTCCAGAAATTCTCTATTTCACAACCAATCAACATACATAGAAAAAAAATTTGTCGTGCGACAAAATGAAATATAAAAAAAAAAAAATTTATACACGCGCGCATAATTTTATTACAATCCAATGTTGGAAAAGAAAGATCCGATTTCCTATACCTTTAATAAATTCGCTAAATAAAAACGCGTTTTTGTTATCTTTTCCGATATTTATATTTTCAACATAAAGAAGCGCAGAGAAAGAAATGGACAGAGAATATAAATTAATGAGATTAAAAACATTGCGCGTCTGAGCGATCCTTATGGCGCGCACGCGCGGTTGGCTGCCGCGGCGAGTCACGTGATCGTCTTTGTGCCCGGCACTGCGGCTGCGAGTCGCGGTGGCGCAGGGCCTGGCGCGACTCAGTGGCCAGCAAGCTTTGACTGCGGGCAGACGTGCGCATCGTCGGCGGAGCGCGGCTCGATCTCCCGTCGCGGCTACGCGAGAGACTCTCTCCTTTTTTTCCCTCCCCTCTCTGTCTCTGCTGTGCGCGTGTGTATATCTCTTTCTCCCTTCCCCTCTCTCTTTTATCCGTCTGTCTCTACCTGTTACCTCCGTGTTTCGCGGTGTCATTGCGCGTGTAATCGGCTCGTTGAGAAAACGTTTTGTCTCTCGCGTGTGACTCCTAGTGGTGCTTTGTTGGTGCTTCTGACCCGCGTGTGTTCCGACGTTCTCCTCCGAAGAGGAAGCGGTATACCACGCAGTGGCAAAGTGGTAGTAGTGCTGGCGGCGGCGGCGACGGCGGTGGCGGTCGCGATTTTCGCGAGGAGCTCGTGCGTGCGTGTGTGCGTGCGAGCACGCGTACGTGCGTGCGTACTGCGCGAAATATCGAGGGGAATATCGTCCGTGTGGTACGCGCACGGCGGTCGACCGGGTCGCGGTGATCGTCGTCGTGGCCGTGCGGAACGACCGCTGCGGCACCGCGTTTCCTCGCGAAACGCGTCTTCTTTCTCCGTCGCGCGTCTCTCAGAAACAAGCCTCGTTTGCGGAGCTCCTTTGAATGACTACTCTTCCCACTTAAGTCCGTAGCGATCAGAAAGTCGTTGCAATCCCGACGACGTTGTTATGAGACTCGCCGTCGAGTGCGATTGACAAGCGCGGCGTGGTGAAGAGAGAAACAGAGAGAGATAAAGAGAGTTGGAGTGAACCACGATTAGAGTACGTGCGGAGTGCGGCGGTGTGTGTGTGTGCGTGTGTGTATGTGTACGTAGTGTACGCGCACGCTACGTACGTGCGTGGTTGCGTGCGGCAGTCTAACCTAACCTAACCTAACCTAAGCGTCGCTAAGCGCGCTAAGTGCCGTTCGTTGTCACGCTCGCGATATCGGACGCGACGGAAGGCAATATATATCGTACATATGCAGATATACAGCACGTATATCATCGAGACCGCGGAGACAGGCTCTTCAGGATCGGGAGTCGAGCAGGAGCAGCGATAATAACGGTGTCCTCGTCGGCGGTGCGCGCGACGACGAGGAAGTCAGAACTGGTGGTGGACTACATCGTCGTTCATCTTGGCGTGATAAGGGGCCTCTGTCCGCGCGTTTTGCTCCTCTTTTTTGTTCCCCGCGGGGAAAGAGCGCGCGGAAAGATCGATTCGCAAAGACGGAAAGATAATTGACGAACAGCGTGATCCCGCAGCCGAGAAAAGAGAGAGAACTATGCCCGTCGCGTGAGACCGATCCATCGTCCGATCGATTCGTCCGCCGATCGCACGCGGCACAAACAATACACGGTGGCTCGCTTCGTCGTGGGGGCGAAAGGGCACGGCCCGTGAAGT